ATAGTGGTTGTGAGATCTGTCAAATTTACCAAACCCGTACACAGATTAGTTACTGAAAATAAGTTTTTTTCTTAAGAAACATTTGATACCTATCTGGACATTATAACAATTTTGCATGTGAAATTTCAAGTTTTCTGATGCATAAAATTATTTTTAATCTTAAAATGAAAATTACTTTGTATATTGGATAGAGAAAAACACTGCTTTATAAACCTTAAGACTTTATATAAAAAAAATATTTTGCATATGAAAGCACTGTAATGTTAACTAATAATCTGTCAAATTGTTAACATTCGCTTACTAATTTAAAAAGTTATAGCATAAAAACTATAACAAGCACAAAATGGTTACGAGGTTGGTCCCAGGGCCAAAAAACATGAATTATTTGACAATATATGTTAGGGAAAAAAAACCCACAACAACTAGTCTTTCTAAAGTTTTCCTGCTGGCATGTCAAAACTTGAAAATATTTAGCTTTCCACTTAAAAATAACCTAATTTACTTTCTAGTTGAAAGTACACTATCTTGTTAGTAAAAAAAAATTAAGTGTTAAAAAACATTTACTGAATAAAATGTGTGTGTGTGGATAGGAGGGGGAAATCACAGAACTCAATAGATATAATGCATGTATAAAATATTTTTTTAAAAAATGACTTATTTTACTTTAAGTGCACATGCAATTACAAATTTAGGGTTAATAGTTTGATGCTTTTATTACTTTCTGCATACTATTTATATCTTTATACAACTCAAATTCTGCATGTTTCTTTACCCTCTAAACTAGTATAATTAAGTATCCTGTCATAAGAATAAGTTAAGAGTATGGATGCCACATATTATTGCCTATATTTCCTAGGGTATTTCCCAAATACTCCACTACAGTTCTTTTTTTTGAAGAAGAAGTATGTGAAAGTGTTCAAGGGTGTTTTATAAATAACAGGTGTTTTTGTGTATGTGATAAGTACATGTTTATATTTCTGAGACTGTCAAGTGCTTCCACATTTTGAGTTCTACTCGTAAATAGACAGGTATGGTTAATGTCATCAAATTGGTTCAAAATTATCAAAAAAGCTGTCAAGATAAGCAACATGGAAAAAAAAAGTCACACATGCACAGCATCATTTCTTAACCATTTCATAAAAATTGCTAGGGGGTTGGGCCTTTACAAAGAGAGAAGATTGAGCAACCAAAGACATTTACCTTCACACTACCATGACATGAAACAAAATTAAATTAGTATCAGTTCTCATCTGTTGCATTTGCTATTTGCATTGCTATTGAATTTCTGTCTCCCAAGCAAACTGCACTGCAAAGAAGCAAACCTTCTCTCCACTCCAAAATCAAAAAGGGGGAGGGGCAGGTTTAATTAACTTTTAGCACTAAAAATTAATGAGTTTCTTACCTAAAATTATTTTAAGAAAAACAAACTAACATGTAAACAGTCACTTATGAATAGAAAACAACATATCAATACTACTAAAATAAAAATCAGAAATTCCTATTTACAGAAAAGAGCTACTCATTGTTTAAAAGATTAAGATGAAGTGTTACAGGTTCCAAAAGATGCCATCCATATAATAATAAATTATACTAACAATCTTCAATTTGCTTTGTTGACATATTAGGAAAAACTACATACTATTTACAATGATAAAACCCCCATAAATGTAACCTTAAAAGTGCTTAACGAAAATTAATTTGCCCCAGAAGAAACCATTTACAAGGAAAATATAATGTAAAATGCACTTATGGTGCAACACTAGTTTTTACTGAACTTTCTGAAAAAATAAAAATTGAGACTAGCATTTTATTTAATCTGCAACTCTCGCCACTGTGGAAGATTTAACCAACTAAGCAACCAGGGCTCAGTTATCACTTCACTGGTTTGCAAGAAAGAAATTCAGTACCACTTTTGAGCTATGCGAACTGGCTTATAAAGCCCAAAATCTACTTACTATAATTTTGGTTGGAAGTCCACTATGTGTAATCAATATGTAACTATATTATGTAATAAATAAAATGTAAGAACTGAAAGCATGTTAATTTCATGACTATTAGAATTCCCACTTACTTGCATTGTGAAGGAAATGCACTTTTGTATAGATGGTTTAAAACAACAACAAAAAACATTAATTCCAGTGAGAAAAAAAACTCAAAAATCATCACAAGTTATTTATGTTCAAAAACTGTAAAAACATTTCTTTGTAGCCAATTTTGAACATGAAATATTCACTTATTTTTTTCCAGTCTAATACAAATCTTACTAATAAATATTCAAGTGGGTCCCACGTGTATACAGAAAATTAGCTTTATTCCACCATCTCTACTTAATTCTAATTCCAAGTTGCTTTGTACACCAATTCATTCTCGACTTTGGTCAAAAAATAATGCCCAGTGTGGACCTACACTATCATTCTATAAAATAGAAACAAATACAGTGAAGTCACACTACCAGGTACTTCTATACCACAAATATTCTGCTTATAAACTAGCAAACAACTAATGACTTAATATTTCTTTATAAATCATCACTTGCGCATACAAAAGAAAATTAACTCATTCCCACTAGCCCTGGGTGTACCAAATGAAACTAAATAGGCATACAACGAGTAAATTTGGTCATTTAAGACCCAAAAATACCTATCAGTGATTACATAAAGTAAAATTATAGCACTAAGGCTTGTAAAAATAATTAGGTTATCACAATAAGCCTAGACAACCCTACACCAATAAATTAGTTATAAAACCCTCCAAACTGTTCAACCATTATCAGCCCCAAATGTTTGTATGCAATTACACTGCTACAATTAAACACATCCATATCAGTGGTGTCACTAAGACCCAGACCAAAATCTTCCCCTTACTATTTCACTTTTGTTCCTATCTCTTGATTTGTAGATCTTCCTTTTTAAAATGTCCAAAATTTCAGGAGTGTTAAGATGAACAAATATTACACCAAAAATTAACGTAGAAAAAAACTACTACTAAAATTTTACTTTTTACCTAAACTAAGATGAGCCTGAATACTATATGTTTTTTTTTCAAAGGTGTTTTATACAGTTATGAAACTTCCTTTAAAAAAATCTGAAAAGTGGGGAGGAGGGGGGAGATGTTACTTTCTAGTATAATGAACACAATAATTCAAACCAATACAAATTAAAAATCTACAATACTAATTTTGTAATAAGAGCAAAATTATGGAAATAACTTCTAAAAAATTAAAAACTTACATAGGTAGTTCTTGTAAATTGTCATGCCCCGGTTCTCCAAATCCTTCGTTCTCATCACAGCTTTCTCCACCAGAGCTGCTTTCAGTTTTATCTGAATCAAATGCAGCTTCTAAATGCTTGAGATTAGTAGATAAAGTGCCAGAAGCTCTTCTAATTTCCTTTTTTTCTTCAATGTTATATTTGACAGAAACTTTATCCTTCTGTAGTAAGTGTGAATCTACAGATTCAACTGAGCATGTATCCTGGTGTTTATTTCCTTTCCACAGTTTTGAAGACCGATTCCAGGATTCCAATTTTTTCACCAAATTTACCAAAGCAGCTGTGGAAAGGTTTTTAACATCTTCATTTTTGAAAAGTTCTGATTTTATATCTGGAGATTCCCGTAGTTTCGAAGAAGAACAATTCTGTTGCAGCTGTTTCTGACATGGAATTCCAAGTGTCATCTGTTGATAGCCAACAAAAGCCTGCAGTTGTCTTTCTACGTGTTTCTGAGCTCGTCTTAACTGGGTTTTCCGTAGCCGACGCAGCAAGTAATCAGCTCGTTTTTGAAGCCTTTCATTGCAAGCAGAATTTCTGTTATTTACTGAAGCCAAATGAAAATTGGAAGCTTCTTGTACCTTATGGTCACCAACTTTGTCATTAGACACATTTGGACCTGAATAAGTCTTTCCTAGTGTTGTCATTGAACCATTCCAACCATTTCCAAGTGTCTTCTTAGGAAACAAAATATGTTGTCCAGACTGAATACAAGTTTTCTGCAGGTGACCTAAGGAGGCTACCTTGTTTTTCATATCTTTCTCAAATGATACATTAGCATTCAAAAGACCCATGTTGTCTTGCACGCCAAAAATGTCTTTATTCATTGTAAATAGGTTTAAATTGCTAGTATGTTTGTCCCCAGCAGCTAGGTTTATCCCACTACTAGGCTTTTCACAATTCACAAACTTTTTACTAGTCAAAACATTAAACTTAACACAGCTATATGGTTTTTTTATCTCATGAACAGCCCTTATTACCTTTGGTAAAAACTGACACTTTCTCAAGGCATCTTTTGAGGTTTCTGTGTTATGTAATCCTTTGTTTTTTGTCAGACATGGGGCATTTCGGTTATTCCCACTATCAATAATGTTTAGAAACAAATTGTCACTTGTTCCAGTTACTGTACTCTCAGGAGATGCAGGACTACTTGAAGCTGATGCAGGAGAGAAAGGCAAGTTAAAATTTTCAGCTTGATTAGTAGTTTCTGTTAAGGCAGGGGCCATTGCACCAAAGTAATGAATCCAAAAGGATACTCTCCTTTAAGAGTTCTTCACTGCCATAAGTATCCACTTTTTTTTGACCTATAAACAAAATGTGAAAATTAAAAAAATTAACTTTGAACCTGAAGAATTAACATTGAAAAGTAAAACTAACTTTAAAAGTTCTAAAATACACTTATTCATAAGTCATATTAGGACCCTACTAATATCTCCAGTTATTTGTACTGTAGATAAGAAAATTTAAAATTAAATATGCTTAGCTGAGGTTAAATCACGCATTTCAGATCAAGAAATTTCAGTTTTCTTAATCTAATCATTTTTTTTTTTATTATTATTGTTATTAAAATCCTAGTTATGTCAATGAGTTATCTTTGTATTTTTACTGGGTGCTTTCATTAGTTCCTAAAGCCATTTTTAGATATACTGAATGGTAATTGAATTCATGCAAAAACTTGAACCATATGCTGTTAAATAACCATGAATTTATTATAATGTTTTGTATTACAGCAAGCCTCAAAATTCTGGGGATTCTGAACATCTGGATCATAGTGAAAGTTAATGATCCACAAGTATACTTTTCACAATTTCAAATCACAACCAATTGTTGTAAGTCTTTAAGCATGTTTCTTATTCTTGCAAGATATTATTGAGCTGTACTACATTACAAAATATTAAGAAACAAAGGATTTTTTTTCTTACATACTTATCAGTTACCAATTTCCAATTATGTTTTAATTTTAATAAAGTTGTCAGATCCACTCTTCAAATGTAATGGCTTACACTATCAAGTGTTCAAGTACAGGTCATTTGACTACTACATTAATAGTATTTTACTAATAACTTTTGTTACTGTACATTTATTGATAAAAATTCTCACTTTCTGACAACATTTATGCATTGTACTTTTTCTTAATTGTTATTCTGCTGATGTCCAGTACCACATGTGATATGTACTACTATCACTAAAAAAAGAAATGCAAAAAAATAAGTACATTACATCTGAATGTCCAAACAGGTTTTTGTCCACTTATAAAACATGCAATTGTTATCCTCTTCAAAATATTAGTAATATATGAACTCTGAACAAAAAACAAACAACAACTTAATATAAAAGATACTGAAATTACAAGCCAAGTTAGACACTATTTGAATAATTTACTGCATTACACCTTATAGAAATATACTGGATCTATTGATAACAAAAGTTAATAGAAACTTTATTGCCAAGTTTATAAAATTTGTGATATAGCTTTGAAATGTAACATCACAACATCTTAAGTTATTTTATTCATCAAAACATGAATCAGTGAAGGTGAAGCAGAAACCTATTCTCTGATTCTGCAACATACAAGTTTTGTCAAATTCACAGCACTAATGAACAGCAGGAGTAGCGAACAGATTAGGCCCCTTCTTCATCTTTCCTTCATGAAATTCATTTTGGTGAAGAAAAATTAGCAAATAAATAACCAGTCAGTCTACCGACTAATAATGGATAATTATTTGTGACAGTATGTTGTGTTATCCACTTTTAAGTTATTAGTGGTGTATTAAAGGTTATATATATAAAAATCAAATAAACGATCACAACAATTTTTTGTAACTTTACTATTAAAATTTTTCATTTTTAAACAGACAAACTCCAAACTAAATGTACCAATTTAAAAACAAAACAACTGTCTAACTACTATAGGTATATTAAATTGTATATGATTCTACTGATAGTCCTGTAAGGAACTGACCTTCAATAGATACAGTCTTGAAAGTTTAAGTAGTACGTAAAAATTTTTTGAATAACTACATGAACCATTCCTAGATATTATAGTGTATCTGATATCTCTCAAAGTAGCTCATCAAAAACTTGGAAGTTCTGGGGGACAGAGTGAAATACAATTACATTATATGCCAGAGATCTGAGGTGGCAGTCAATATTCATATCAATTATGAGGACAATTTTAAACCTTCAGAAATTAATACTGAATAGATTCTGAGAATATTTTTTTTTTCTTGATACCCTACCAACAATTAGAAATATTGATCATGATTGGCTTCCACAGCTCATATACAGTTATGCTTGTTACCAGTATACAGATTATAATTACAATAATTTCCAGCAAAAGTGATTCAGTTATGTATAAGAAAGTTACTTTGAATAAACACTAGATAAGTTGGCATTTCTTCAATTACTCTACTTTACAATGTATTGGACTGCAACCCATCTCCAATAGTTTTACATTCCATTAAAGCTATTGACAAATTTTACCAATATAACTGTCCATTGACACAACTTATTGATAATCAACATTTAACACATAGTGGCTATAATTTTTAGAAATAGTTCTAAATTTAACTAAGCTGTTATAGCATTACATTTTTATGCACATTTGTAATTTAATCGAATTATCTCCAAATATGCTCTTAAGAAAAACCAGAAGTACAAATGAATTATATGCCAATAAAACACGTAAACTTTATCCAAATCCCTTCCTATTGTAAATTTTTGAAAAAAAGAAAAAATTGGTATGCCAACTTTTTTGACAAATGCACACAGAATTAGAGGGTTTAGTATGTTACATTACAATGACTTTGAATATGCAACTCAAGCTACATGATAACCACTACCACTATAAATTCATGGTGGAAAAGCAAGTATAAGAACTACATTTTGACATTGTTTCAGAGTTCATAGGTAGTGTGATGCCATCAAAATAGATTTTCTTGGGGGGGGGGGGATATGTAATAACTCCTTCCAATATAAAATATTCATAGACTCAGACCTTAAAGATGTGTTCAGATCAGGGATGTAGAATTTACAAGATGGAAATATCTCCTTGCATTTAATGGTATTGTAATGCAAAAAGGATATGGATCAATTTTGGGATAAGAACGATCTAGTAGACATAGTAAGCAAAGTGTAGAGACTTGTAACAGGTCAGAATCCATGAACACAAAGGTCATTGGCAGAAGACATTCACATGGCTAAGGCAAGGATCTTCGTCTTGAAGTTCCAAATTGCTTCCATGACATATCTGTTCCACTATCACATATATCAAGCAGCTGGAGAACAAAGTAGGTATTTATGCTATTCTATAAGAAAATATGCCAGTCAAGTTGCCAAATGTGGAACCTATGAATTTCTGTGAAATCAGACTGTTAAAACATGCACAAAGTAAGATTAATTCTTGTGCAATGGAAACTACACTGCAGGGTTACTACCAGGATACATGACCACCAGATAAAGCATGAATATGTCATGCTGATAAAGACATTGTAAGGTTCCAAAATCACTAACACAGCATACTCAACTTTTGTATTCCTTCCCATCAGTAAAATTCAACCAACAGATGGTTTGGGCTTTTCACCTGTTTTAGTACAAGAAACATTTTGCCAGACTGAAATCCTTATATTTTGTTGGACAGGTATGCAGATATATTTAGAAAGGTTGATGTATCTTTCCATCAACTGAGGATTAAGAGTGGCAATGATGAATATACTTTCTAGTTCTCTTACAAGACAAAACAATAGGTGGTTGCAACCAATACCCTCAGATAATATTGGAAACCTGACTAAATTAGTTGGTTGAAATACTATATTAGACTTAAGGAAGTGCATCAAAGAGAATGTCACAATATAACAATGAATTGTATACAGTACTATCACTATGTATCACCAATTTGAGCTATTGTAAAATTCAGGAAACTTGTTAGTGCTAAGAAAACCAACGTTGCTCTGCAATAGAATCTGACATGCCAGTGATAAAATCCACTCAAAATCTCAATCATTATGTTAACAATGGGTGTTGTGGCAAAGTTCACAACATTTAAGCTAACTAAATATATTTTTATCCTTTTACAGTTTAATATATTTAACTTTCAGAATACAATTCAATATCAAGCCAAGTTATCAAATGCATGTTAATATGAACTTTGTTTTTTTTAAATCATATCAGAAATATGTCATGATATATTACAAAGTATACTGTCAGTGACTAACTAACAACTATCAGAACCTGCAAATTAGCCTATATACCAATGACTCATGACCTGAAAGTAAAATTTCTTATATTACACTAGTGTGGGGAAATGAAAAAAAAAAAAACTTTACATAAATTCAATTCACCTGCTATAGTTCATTCATATCCTGATTATTTTGCAACAGATTAAATTTTATTATTACATGCTCATCTTGAAACAGCACATGCACCAAGTTTTAACAACATTAAACTTAAGGTTTTAATTGCAGAGAACAAATCCGATGTTTTTTGTAAAACTAATATATATTATTTTTATTCAAACATATTTAACATTATAATAGAAAAAAGATTAAGAAATTAATAGGTCTGCTCATGATAAAATGACATCTTAAACCAAATGGATAGTTCTACTTGATTTAAAAACAATTTACACATCACCAACTTTAAAATCCTAACTGTATGGAGTTATACACATTAAATTTTGAAACTGGAAGTACTGAGAAATATATCATGCTTGCAGATGGAAGGTTCATTACAAAATCCCCCCCCCCCAAATTTGTTTTCAGTTTATATTATTTCATAAAAATTGGAAGGCAAACATTTCTAACCTCAGATTACTTGATTAAGACTATGGCTATTTAAAGAGCCATGGCTATAAATATTTAGCTGCATTCAACAAGTCTATTGTTTCATTTATCTTTGAAAATTTTATTAAGCACGTTGTCAACAAAATTTTAAACACTTAGTATAAATTAAGGGATCCACACACTGATAATGGTTTGAAATACTTCACGTTTTTCTTAAAATAAATAGATTGGTCATTTCTTCTAATATTAATGCACACAATAACCCACAACTAAAGAACTAGGACAGAGAAAGTAATAGATTAACACTAATTACGATTTTAATTTCTGAAAATTTAATCATACGCTTCCCGAAATACTAGCTATACATAAATATTACGGCTGATAAACTGATTACTTGCTTAAGTTCATACGCTTCCCGAAATACTAGCTATACATAAATATTACGGCTGATAAACTGATTACATGCTGAAGTTCACACGCTTCCCGAAATACTAGCTATACATAAATATTACGGCTGATAAACTGATTACTTGCTTAAGTTCATACGCTTCCCGAAATACTAGCTATACAGAAATATTACGGCTGATAAACTGATTACTTGCTGAAGTTCATACGCTTCCCGAAATACTAGTTATACATAAATATTACGGCTGATAAACTGATTACTTGCTGAAGTTCATACGCTTTAATTTTTAATAAACCTAGAGACGGTATAATTAGTAGTAAGTGCCATCCCTAACTCAAGTATACAGTAAATAATATGAAATTACTTTGCAAGTACTGTGGCTCGACACATAGTTATACTTTCAGAAGATCCTTTTAACTTAAAACAACTTTAAATGTTTGTTTTTGTTATAAATTGCAGAAATCACGGAAACCTAGATATAACATACAACACTCTTTATTACACATTATATTCTAGTAAAAATATGTTTGAACTGCTTTCTGATAACAATACACACACACACATACATACACACAACAAAATAAGAATATTACAAAAAATTTGAACAGCTTTTTCTGCAAAACTGGCCAATATTTTATGTTATGACAAACTTCAACTTACAGCATTACTTACAAGAATCAGGTAGTGACATCTCGAATTAAAAGCAGATTGTAAATTAAACTTGGAAATGTTACTCTCCAGTGAGAGATAACTTAATATCATAAATTTGGTTGTTTCTTAATGTAAATAAGCTTTATTTATATGAGATTAAGAATTATTGTGCAATAACCCACCCACCCAAAAAATGAGAAATGTAAAATGAATAATCATCACAAAAACCTTCCGAAAAGAAATTTATAACATACATTTCTTACCTCATATACTACTTGTAGGGATATGCCATAATGAATTATCACTATACACTTGTGTGCATGTGACAACTTCAAAAGATATGTTTATGTCAATAAAAAAAAATTTTTCATTCACACTCAATAATTTTATGTTTTAGACTTCTCTATCAGTTATCAGAAAAGCTGAAAAATGTGATTATGTACAAACTGTTAGGTTAATTTTTTAAATAAATGCAATCACCATTGAATTGTTCAAACCCAAGCATGGACACGTTAAAACACTGCCATGCATCAGTATGTAATTATCTCCATACTGTGACCAGCACTAAGTCAGTCCAGTTTTGAAATGGGACAATCTAGGCTTCCAAACTACATGGATTTGAAATTTTCAGGACACTCCCTTTAAATACAAACATCCAAATAATTTCACAATAACTTTGTCCCACAGGAGCCACTGATTTGAGAATCTCAAAGTTCTGAATCTCCATGTTCACTGCTTTCTCTGCGCTTCACGACTGCTTGAGGCATCCGAGTTAATCGCAATCTCTCATGTGAAGTCTGTTGCATAGAATATTTTTTTCGAAAAGTGTCTCCAGTAAACCAAAGCCAAGAGGAGTCACACTGACCTCTAAAAAAACCCAGTTTTAATAAAACCCAAATTCCTGCCATGATATATAGATTTCACAATAAAATCTCCAACACCTATGAATTTTAAGAAAAAAGAAATGACATCAAGCACCTACAATTATATCCAAGAATGCCCAATATAGTTTTTCACAAAAACATCAATTGGCCTTATTGTTTGTTAAGCACAAAGCTACAATGGGCTACCTGTGGTGGGCACCAAAACCCACTTTTTGTATGTCATAAGCTTTTAGCCTTACTGCTTCACCTCAGTAAATCTATTAAAACTGATGATATATAAAAACTCATGACACCCTTAGATTATCATGAGTTTATCAAACCTTTCAAACTAAACATTTTTAAGTAACTTCCACAAATACCTTATTCCTATTAAAAATGAGTTATTTTACAGTCTCAAAGTACAAAGTATTTGTATTTTACAGTACAATGCTCAAATTAGTATATACAACTTTAACATATAATTTAAAGACAAAAAGGGACCTGTTGATCCTTCTAGGTCATCCCATCCACTAAATTTTAAAATAAAAATAAACCTCAAAGTCAGGCCTTATTATTTAACTATTTATCAAGTCTTTCCTTAAGTTCTCATAAATTAATTACAATTACTACTTGTTCATGGAAGTCATTCTACACACAACTACCCTGTTACTGGTGTTAAAAAATAACTGGCTTAGCTGAAAATGATTCCTACCTGGCCAAAATTTATAGTTATGCCCCCTAGTTATACCATTCTCACCATTAAGTATAAAAAAAAAATGATACATCAACACTATCAATTCCCTTATGAACTTGAAACATCCCAATCAAAAGAAAATACTATAAATACATAAATGCATTTCTGCTACAAATACTTAAAAAAAAAAAACTTTAGTTATTATAAATTGTTTCTAAGTGTTATTGGTTATAGCCCTTTACAATGAATGATGGAACACCAATGGGCCTTTTCATCCAATGAATATCCTGACTCCCACCTTTTCTAATCATAAAGTTTCCAAAATATCCATCACCAATTTCCTTAAAACTCTTGTAAAGTTGCAGATTCCACCGTTATTAGAAATCTCTTATTCACAAGTTACAGCATTTATTTTCCTATACTCAATATGACATTTGAAATTACTGTAGTAAGTACACCTTAATGGAAAATATCATTTTAGGTTAAATTTGCTTACAATAAAAAGAAAAACATTAATTTTATGGCTTAAGTTTACTGAATCAGATTAAGGCAAATAAGTTTAAAATTTCTAATAAACATGCATGATCAAAACTTTAATTACAATGATAAAACTTAAGTATTTTATTAAATCACAAAAATGCTCGATTCTGGCCTTCAAAGTTGTAAAGTTAGTGGGTTTTGTACAGATATTAGATAAAAGTTAGTACTTAAAAACCAAACATATACAATTTAAAAAATAGTACAATACACGCTTCCACCATCAATACATGAATCATTAAATGCCATTAATAATTTAAGTTTAATGTAACTAATTTTTTGGATCAATTATAAGATATCTTCAATTTAACTTTTAACCTATGCCTGTCTATGTAATTTAACCCCCTAATAAATACTGGTACAGTAGTAGCTGTACAGGAACTTCATAAATAATATAATAGGTCTCAGTGGAATAGTATTACTATAAAGTGGCTAAAGTACTATAGTAAAGTAGTATAGTTTACCAGCTTCCTGAGCTAGACTCCCACCGAGTCCCAGTTCACTCCAGACTTAGCTTTTGGCAAACACTGGGAATAGCTAACTTAGTAAAAACTGTAATAGATTATGATACAACATTACCAAAAAGGCAGATATCCTAATTGCAAGTTCTTTTCTAGATGCTCAATAAACGTTTGATATCAGCAATTAAATATTACGAGCCATAGTTCATGGTATCACAGTTCTAAACAACCACAAAACCGGAATTCATTTAACAGCAACGATAACAGACGACAAAGAACTTCTCGCAAATGCTTGTGAGCCAAAATTATACCACGTGACCAAGGATCGTCCCTTTCTCCAACACTGCAGTACTTTGTGACGTTTTCCTGAATGTCTTAACTTACGACTATTGCAGACTTTTACACGCAACATTTTATACTTTAAAAATGTAATTTAGTTTGCATTCACACATAATATCACAGGTACAAATATATCTCCAATGGCTCTTACCCATTCACTTTCAAGTTATAAGGGTCAAAAAATGGACACAAAGATTCAGAACTCGATGAACAACACCTTTCATCATGGCGGACACCCGTCTTCCAGCCAAGCGAATACAACAAAATTTTAGCTTACATCAAGCCTTATTTACATTCATGATGGCGTCATTTCCAGTGAGTCGGTCGAATACAGGTCTATGATTGGTTGATGTCTGTTGTGTCTTGGTACGTTTTCTTCCATTACTCCCGGCTGTAAGTACACTTTTTGCTTTAGCTCAAGAAAGAATTTCGCAGAGATATGTATAAAAGTTAATATTTTACAAATAATTATAAGAATATATTGATGATTTCGTTTACAACAATAATAAACGCAAGATTATAAAATTTTGTCTGGGTCCATAGTACAAAACGTAACATCTTTAGCTCGAGCGAAATACTGCGTTGTGTTGATTTCCCGCCTAGCGTACCTTACTCTGGTTCCGAATAAGAAGTGAAAGCTAAGCATCTATCATTCAGCGCGGCACTTTAAAACTGTATTTAAACTATATAGCTTTTATTTTTCGTGAAAATTAAATTGGCCTCATATAAGTAACTTTGTCAAATATGTAAAACGAAATTTCTTTAATCGGCTATGATATATTTTTCAAACTTATTAAATTACAATGTATAAATTCAATGTCAGACCTGCTTTTGAATGTCCTTGTTCAACTAGACGCTTAGCGTTATAAAAAGTAATTGAGGAAATTTCAAACTCATCAACATTGTTTTTTTTTACTAGGACATTATAGCTTATTAAATAAACCAATTTTAATTTTCATCATATTAATATTACACTAGTTTTAGTAATATTAAGCCATGTACAACATCAGCACAATACACCTTAAATAATTGAGAAACTGTAAATTTAATGATTACGGAACTCATTCGAATTTACAATAAATACTAAGACAGGATATACATATTTTCAGCAACTTAAAGGATAACAAAAAAAACAGAGTACAGAAATAGAATATATGTGTAAATACTATTTATATATATAGATATGTGTGTGTGTGTGTGTTAACTAGATGACCACGTTTAAACAGATTAACAAACGAAAAACTACTGCTAACTATTTAAATATACCTCTGAATAATGCAATAGTAAGGCAATAGAAAAAATTCCCGATTTTCTTTCTCTGTTTGTACTGTTGTAGCATTATTCTTTCATTTATTT